TAGATAGCGAGGTAATTAGTAATACCTTGTTTTTAGCTCATTTTGCAACAAATTTATATATATTTTTTTAATTTTTAGACTTTCAAAAGTATATTGCACTTAAAAAGTAGCAACAAGAGTCAGATTTATGGATTCGTGCTATGTTCCATTTTACAATAAGATTTTAATATGATAGATTTTTATATACTGCGTGATCATATAAAAGTTCGTATTACTTAAGATTCATTCTTTTTTTTTTATTAGTCATTATTCCAGTGCTGTCTAGGTGTGCTTGATTTTTAGAAAACAATACGAAAGCAACACTTGACTTCTTTAGATCTCAGCAGCAGTCCTAGATCAGAAGGTGAAAAGATACTAGAAAAGAACTGTACAAGAACAATGATCTTGGTAGATGTATTTTGTAAGAATGCTACATTATTTTTTAGTTTCAGATTATACTAATCTGTTTGTAAATTGGACATTGAAAATGTAATTAGTCAATGCAATTTATAAAAACGTTATGCTGACTTTTTTGGATCTGTATTAACATTCTTGGATCAAGAATTAGCAGATGCACTTTAGGCCAGACCAATTTAATTCAGTGGTTTATGTTACATCTCCACTTTGAAAGAGAGAAGATTTTGCAAGAGTTTACATAGTAAAATTTTCAAAAATTTTTTCTCCAAAAAAAAATTTTCTAAAATAGCCTATTTCCTTAGGGAGAGAGGGTAATGTAAACCACCAAATTAAATTGGCTTGGCCTTATAAAAACATATGCTAATTTTTTTTTAGGTCTAAGTATCATAGTCTCAAATTACAAGAAGCAACAAGAGCATATGATGCCTTTCTTTTTGAATCTAAGTAATATTCTTAAGTCGAGATTTATTGAATACAAATTCTGGATGCTTTAAAAATTTATTTATTCAAATATATATATCATATTATAAATATTAACTGTAAACTCATCAATATTTAATGTTCTATTTAAGATGCAAAATGGCAAAGCACATATTATTCTCAATGAAGCACCTATTGGATTTGTGAAATGTTGCATGTGTAAATTTTATATATCATCCAACCTAAGCTCCTTTTCTGTTACTTTTTGTTTAAAAGCCCAGGTATATGAATTTATCCAATTTTGTATTGTGGAAGTTTTTGGAATATCCTCTGCTTCAATGTCTCCATTTCAACGAATTTTAGGAGTTCGGCATGCATGGCCTTTGCACTTATTTTGTCTTTATTTACTCGATTCCCGTTTAGAAAAAAACCTTCTAACTTAGCTCTTATGTTTTTTTTGATTCTAGCACCACCTCTATTGCCTAACTTTTGATTGCCTTTTAGCACCCATCCTTTAGACAATGAGAATTCTTTATCTATTATACTAAATTATAAATTAGTAAGTGAATCAATTTTAATATCTATTAGATTTTTTAATATCTACCTTGGTATTGATATTATCACTAAGGGTTCATTTTGACTTTGGTCTTCTTTGTTTTGACCCATACTAACGTCATCTTTTATTTTTTGACAAATTAGAGGTTTATTATTATTATTATATTAAATCACTATAATACAAATACGACAAAATACCTTTTTTATCATCTATTGGAATTATCCATGCAGATTCCGGTATTGTTTGTTCTGACTTAGTTGGTTGTGGTCGTTGAGGCAGAGCGTTCCAAAGTTTATTTAAATATGCAGGTGAAAAGGCTTTCCATTCTCCGATATGAGGTAGTGGACGCGCACTAATATATCCATTGTATCTGCCCTCGATAGGCCATTTCCAATAGAATAACTTTGAGATTCTCTTAATAGTTTTTATTTTAGTTTTTAATTTTTTTGACTCCTCATTATCGTTATGATCTGGTTCTATGTTTGCTACTGAAGTTCCGGAAAGATTTTTAACCACCTTCTTTATATCATCTCCTTCCTCCAAATTGAATCCCATTCGCAAATATCGCTTTATTGCATGTGTTATCTGAAATGGCAGTGAGTATATTAGATAATATAGTTAGAAAAATAGCATCGTTAAATCGATTATTTATATCTAAAAAAAAAAAAAAAAAAAAATTATAATAATAATAATAATACAAAGACACTAAATACTGCATGATGGGAATCTACAATAGTTTTTGCTTCACCAGGTTCTAAGAACAGCCAACTACAGACTTCAATACCGTACTATTCGTACCAATATCCAACTATGGCCATTAATTCAGAGTTATGATAATGTGGCCCATTGTCAGATATTACTTTAATCCATTTAGGCTTATTTTCAATTATTTCGAATACTACCTCAAATGCAGATGCAGAAAACCAAGCATCCTGCTTTGTATCCATGGACTAGTGATCATAAGCTTTAATATCTAATTCTGTTTGATTTTTTTTGGTAAGAACTAAAATTGTGTGTAATGTCTAACTGCGTTTTCTGTAAAACTCATTTTTTGTTTCACGCACAGATTGAGGTAGTACTCGCATTTTATAATCAGCAATAAAAAGCGCACCATCAAAGTCGAGCTCGGCCAGCGTTGCTTTAAACTGAGCATTGAGGTATACCTTTCGTGTTTGATGAGAAAGGTAATAAAATAATTGTTCTTTTGATTTATTTATTTGTGGATGAAATTCTGAAGGTACTGATTGATATATAAAATTTAGGAAATTAAACAATTTATCACAGTCAGTACACCGTCTTTCATGATAGTGAAGCATGCCAAATACTAACACAACACTCTCTTAGTAATAGAGATATGCAAAGATTCACCTTCTACACAGAT